CCATAAAGGACTGAGTATGAGTAAGTAATCGCAACAACTGTTGGGTCTTTGTTGAGTAATCGAAATTTTCGCAGTCAAGAGACGGTGTGTACAAAATTTCAGGGGTTTTTTCTATAATTTTGAAAACTGCTATAAATAATGCTTTCAGCGTACAGGCAATTAGGGAAAATACTGGATAATACTCTTAATTTGTTTTGCTATAATTTGTAGTCCTTCATGTGAAAGTCTTGTGCAATAACGCAAAAAACAAACTAACGTTGAAATGGTATTATGGTAGAGATTTTAGCTGATAGGTGTTAGTATGTTAGTATTATAGAATTTCTATAAACATGTCCTGGAATAATTTTGTAAATCGATAATTAAATTTCTAACATATTTGTACTTTGCACGTCAAACATCTACTATGGGCGGTAAACTTATCTCAAGTTCTTATTCGGGTATTATTTGACTATAAAATAAACAAAAAGACAGCTAACGTGGCTAAGCTGAAATTTTTTCATTATCCGTCATCGCTATGTGTTACAAAATCGACACATACAGTATATGTATGGCAGACCATCTGAGAGTGCCTTCTATTGCTCAATTGTATCGCCTAAGAAGGTTTTAGCCAAAATGATTAGTCGTTTATCGCACATCACACATGATAGTCTTATGAATATATTATCCATTATTGAAGACTTCTGTTTGTGCCATTCTTTGCGTAATTACTCTGATAAAATAGGTTCTTAATTTCACACTGATTATCTACTTGATACAAGGAGAGAGACAAGCGTAATGAATAAGATTTTTATTCATAATAGTACGTGACTTTGACTATGTACAGTAACTGTCAAGAATAGCACTAAAGCTAATTAATTTTACATCTATATGCGTGAGATATACTTACAGAGAGCAAAAGTGTAGTTGTCGTATAGTAGGTACTCTTTTGTTTGGGGAGTTTTGATTATGTACAGTAACTTTCAAGAATAGCACTAAAGCTAATTAATTCTACATCTATATTTTACGTCGCATGCGTGAGATATGCTTTGCAGAGAGCAAAAGTGTAGTTGTCGTATAGTAGGTACTCTTTTGTTTGGGGGGTTATAAATAAGCCAATTGGCAAATTTTAAGTTACATAATAACTAGTATTTCTAAAGTGAATAAATACACGAATATTCAGCAAATATGTTAAAATTATAAAGTCACGCTCAACCGCCGTACGCATCCAACCACTTTTGAATAATGGCAACGGTATCGTGTTTTGCAGAGCGTGACTTCGTTACATTCCTTCTCATAATCAGTCAACATCTGTTCGAACTCTTCTTCTGTAATCCTCATAATATGAGTGAGAATAATTTTCATTGCTTTATATGCCCCCACGGTATACTTCAATGTCTAACATAAAAACGTTAATTAATTATAGATGTTTGTTATGGGCATTTTTTAAACACTTTGTTTACTATACTTACCGCTTCACCTATTCTACCTGCTTTCTTCCCAAGATAGTGTGTCCTTTCTTCTATGGGCGCTACAATCACTTTATCCTTAAACTCATTAAATGTTTTTATTACGTCCGTACCGGACATTGGGTTAATTCCGACTTTACGAAAATGTTCCAATACTACAGTTTTAAATAATGGAGGGAAAGGTAGTCAGGAGTTAGCGAGGCAAGCTACACACTCAAAAACGCATACGCATACGATTCATCAGATACATACTATAAGTGTCAATCTTTTGGCATATTATTCCCGGATTTATACCTTCACATAACCTCCAGGCTTAGTTACTCTTATTAATTCTTTTACCACTTTCTCTTTCCATGATCGCCAATTGATACAGATTATGACAAATGCTTGTCGAACAAAATCGGTAGACCATCTATGATATTACACACATAAGAAATGCCACATTGGGTGGATGATTTTCGGGGAATAAAGGGGCGATATCTATCCCAACAAATACTGAAACAGGGTAATCCAAGGCCATATCCACTATCCATGCTCCTGCGCCGCAACTGGTTAGTTATAGAAATCGTTAATACGGGCGGTCTAGAATATTTGAAACTTGTATATGTACAATATATATATGTATTTACCCAATATCAAGAACACTTGCTCCTAATGATAAATTATCGGAAACGGGAGCAGAGTAGTTACCTCCCCACATAATTTTGTCTATAAAATATCGGTCGTATGTCCTTTTTACTTCTTTCTGGTCACTGGGCAGATAATATTTTAGTGTATTGTCGTTCAAGTAACGTCTTCCGCCGACTTCTACAAATTTTTCTAACACATTTTCTGGTTTCATAACAGCCTCAATTGGATCCATTAGTGATACCGAATACGTTGGCGTGTTGATTTCTATTTCATCTTCAGTGCTCTCATATGATATCCCTGAATCGGTGCCTGAAAAGTCAGACATTTTTAAGGAAGCGGGTCTGTCTATCCATTTTGAATGATAATGAAAATGTGTGCGGACTTTTCAAGCGAGTTTTTTTTAAGGGAGTTGAAAAGTAATGTGCTGACATGATGCGACATACGTCTTGTGGTATATTAGTATTCATAACATAATATTCTAGATTGAACTAGCCCCCCTCCCACCTTACTGGCTCCTTGTGTTGTAGCTGCAGTATATGTATATGGCGATCAGGGAATATTGTAGATTGGCCTTGCTATTCCGTACACACATGTATATCATATATTATATTTGTGATAGTGCCAACTAGGAGGAAATTTATAATTAAGTTTTTAACCATGATTTGGCTTGATCTAATAAACTCTCCTCCAAGTTGATTTAAATCATTGTAGCAAGAAACTCTTCAAAAAGCTGTTGGGAAAACTGCTATACAGTTGATGCAAATTCTAAGTTGAGATTATTTAATAAAGTCATGCAATATCGCTAATTAAGTTCTCAGGTATTTTGTCCTGTAATAAGGCGAAGAACGCGTCAACATACACTACGAATTATATAAAGTACAGCATGACCCACCTCTCGTATTTTTCCTCTTCACCCAATGGATAGCACTATCGCTAAAAAGTGTATACTTTGGCGTAAGTCCTTTCCGGTTTATGTAGGTGATATGTTACACTCACAGACTACCACTGATACGGATTATTACCCTATTCGGTTAGCTTAGAAGAAAGAAACACAGCGCTCTCTATTCTTCATTCTGTGCGATATGTATAATGTATAGGTGTGGTTGATAAAGACGAGGAAGAGGATAGCACGATATTAATTTTTTGTATTGCACAAATGAATTGCTATACCGGTCACACTCATGATGCTTACCTAGTACACTGCGATAAGAATCAACTCTTGTGAGTATATACTTTCAGAATCCACGACGACTTTGAAAAGCAGTTTCTTCTCCTTCTCAATTCAAGTTTTAGAATTACGCTTTGTTACATATCACAACGACTATTATAATGAGTTCGAAACTTGGAGCCAAAGATCTAACTTGTATATTTGACTCTCTTTCCAAGAATAGTCAGTTAGCGCCGTGTTGTGACAAAAGATGGCGACAAGCGTCTGCCGGCACAGTAGTGAAAAGCCTAACGGATATGGCTAAGTGTGAACAAATTTCCTTATATTTGCAAGCAATTATTAACTTTCGTACTGGAGTTCGTTTTAATAGGCCTTCATTGAGGCTTGCGGCTAGACGAACGTTTGCACGATTTGGTCACTCAGCGACATCCCATTTACCGATTAATTGAAATCACTAACGAAGAACAAAGACTAAGGCCTGAAATCGACAAAAGAGAATTGTAACTTCACGTTCTAAACTTTGGATCAACATGAAGGCCATGATGCAATACTGGAAAACACTCAAATCGTTGGTTCCTTCTATACAATCGTGTTTTTCAAATATTTGGTGAAATCGCACATAGTAGTAGATGTTATTAAAACGAAGCTAACTAAAGAAACATTGTTAGGCATTTGGCAAACAATCCCAATAATACGTGAAGAAGCAGATCAAAAAAGAAGTATATTATAATTACGTGTTAAACTTTCTATTTATCATGTGTGCTTTTACGTATCAAGTACAGTCAACTCTGTTTATACCGAACGGGTTGGCATAGCTCTCTGTGTCCTTCCGGATCCGGTATAAACAAAGAATTTTCATATGAAACGAACGGTGCGCAAGAATCTGTCCGTGAGATTCCGGTATATACATTTCCGGTATACACAGAGTTGACTGTTATGTTTTTGAATCTATCTAAATTTTGATTAGTCAACTAAGTGATAATAACATATCTTGCCATTTTATTTTTGAGGTAAATTAATTATATTTGTATTGTGAGAAAAAAAAAAGCTGCGTCGTATTAAGTTTCGTTTAACGGGTTAGAGTTCTCAAGCATTTAAACATCGCGTAAGGTTTAATCTAACGAAAGTTAGTGAAACATCTGTAGGTTTGAAAGTACGTTAGCCACAACATGACAAATAGATCGACTGTGGGAAAAATATTTTAATCTGTTACTTCAGATGTATAGCTATTTTAAAGTATAGTATAGTATATAATAATAAAAACCGGCCCATACTTCATGACGATCGCTAGCCATTAATAGGAAGTACAATATTTAGTTGTAACCAATAATTAAGCGTTGTTAGACGTCGGTAAGGTTTCGGATGATCACATGAGTTTGGTATGTACGGCAACAAAAGTGTAATAACGTTAAAAGATGAGATCTGCATTGGTAAAATCCTTGACTGTACTATTTATTCAGTTGTCATTCTTTTGTTTGTGGTCAATGCGTATAGCGCTCGATCACATTAAGTCATAATTTACACAAGTTTTGTAATACAATTCTTCAACGAAAAAACTCTTCTCTATGAGGTGGGACGCAAGATGAAGAAAAACTGTCTCAATAGGAACAAAATTTTTCAAGCCCGTATTTACAGAAAAATTGTAATCACAAAATACCCGTTATCTATTAACCTCTATAACAAATAACACAAGTAATAGCTTGTTTAAATAAGAGATGTAAATTCTATTATTAATACGTCAGTTTGAAATACGCTTTCCCTTAGTTTTACATTCTCGGTTTATTAGTTTAAAAATTAAATTATAGTTTGTTCTAGTCAAATTACGCACTCCTCAACCATTATTGGTTTCATTCAGCCAAATTTTTCGCGTTTGACGTTCCCATACCTTTTTACTTATGTTCATAAATTTTAACCGCAAGTCAGAAGTATTGCCATGTATTTCAGAAAAACAAATTGACTAGTGCTACTTATATTCTTCAAATTTTATCGTATCTCTAAATAATTTCAGCCTTTCAACGTATACATTTAATTCCAGGCACAAAAAAATTACAGTTTTTTTGTAACATACTGTATATAGTATTGGTGACTCAGTATCAACATGGAATGGGACTATCGCAAATTTTAAATTATACCATAACCAAACACTTCCAACTATACAGATTTATCGTACAATTTTCAGCTAATCCAAAAATTTTAACAAACACGTTAAAATAAATCGTAAATAAAAACCAAAGTCAACCGTTGTACGCATCCAACCGCTTTTGAATGATGGCACGGTATCGTGTTTTGCAGAGCGTGACTTCATTGCATTCCTTCTCAAAATCAATCAACATCTGTTCACACTCTTTTTCTGTAATCCCCATAATATGAGTAAGAATAATTTTTATTCCTTTGTATGCCTCCAGAATACATTTCAATGTCTAAACAGCAAAACGTTAATTAATTATAAACGTCTGTTATGTTTTTTCCTTAAATATTATACACTTTGTTTAGTATACTTACCGCTTCACCTATTCTTCCTGCTTTCTTCCCGAAATAATATGGCCTCTCTTCCATAGGTGCTACAATCACTTCATTTTCAAACTCGTTAAATGCTTTTATTACATCTGGACCGGACGCTGTGTTGATTCCGGCTTTACGAAGATGTTCCAACACTAAAATTTAAATAATGTGGGAGAGGTAGCCGGGTTAACAAGGCAGGCTACACACTCAAAACGCATCGCATACGAATTTATAGATATTTACAATAAGCGTCAATCTTTTGGCATATTATTCCCGGGTTTATATCTTCACGGCATACCTCCATAATTTCGATATATCCTCCAGGTTTAGTTACTCTTATTAATTCTTTTACCACTTTCTCTTTCCATGCTTGCCAATTCATACAGACTATGACAAATGCTTGTCGAACAAAATCAAACGTGTTATCTGGAAACGGTAGACCATCCATGATATTACACTTAAGAAATGCCGCATTGGGTGGATGATTTTCGGGGAATAAAGGAGCAATATCTATTCCAACAAATATTGAAACAGGGTAATCCAAGGCCATATTCATTATCCATGCTCCTGCGCCGCAACTGGTTAGTTATAGAAATCGTTAATACGGGCGGTCTAGAATATTTGAAATTTGTATATGCATAGTATATATATCTTGTTTTCAGCCCGCGATAATGTATTTACCCAATATCAAGAACACTTGCTCCTAATGATAAATTATCGGAGACGGGAGCAGAGTAGTTACCTCCCCACATAATTTTATCTATAAAATATCGGTCGTATGTCCTTTTTACTTCTTTCTGGTCACTGGGCAGATAATATTTTAGTGTATTGTCGTTCAAGTAACGTCTTCCGCCGACTTCTACAAATTTTTCTAGCAAATTTTCTGGTTTCATAACAGCCTCAATTGGATCCATTAGTGATACCGAATACGTTGGAGTGTTGATTTCTATTTCATCTTCAGTGCTCTCATATGATATCCCTGAATCGGTGTCTGAAAAGTCGAACATTTTTAAGGAAGCGGGTCTGTTTGTACGTATCCTATCCATTTTGAATGATAATGAAAATGTGTGTGCACAGACCTTTTCAATCAGCAAGTGAGTTCTTTTAAGAGAGTTGAAAAGTAATGTTACATGAGAGTGCTATATTGTGACAATATGATGTGATGCAGTATTATTAAAAAACAGTGTAACAAACTTCGATTAATTATTACGTAATATTTAAGACAAGTTGAACTTACGTCGTGGCATTTTGTAGTAGTCTCCATCAAGTTGATAAAAAATTCAAATCGTATGAAATCTTTGTACCTCAAAGAGCTATTAGGGAAACTGCAATACAGTTGTTATATTTGCTGCAAAATCGAAATTTGCGCAATAAAGTCCATGTCATCGCTAATTGAGTCTTCCAGTACTTTATCCTATAACAATGTGGCACTGACTATTATGGTGAAACCTTTCTGCTATTGCTAAATACTGTATTTTGCATCTTTTGGAATAGACTTACTTTAGCGTAAGCCATTTCGAAAGTTCTCCGGTTTATGTAATTGTCAATTAAAAATAAGTGGGGGTAGGCACCCACAGATTCCCTACACCCACAACATTCTTATACGGTTATTGCCCTTTTCGATTGTCTTAAGAAAAAGAAAACACCTACGCTCTCTATTCTTTATCCTTTACGATATATATGGAGTGTGGAGACCGGGTATATTGTGCGAATGATAAAGATGTGAAAGAGAATGTGCACGATATTAAACTTGTATTGCACGAATGAATCGTTATGTCTTGCTATATCTATCATGTCATGCAGTCACACTCAAAATGCTTACCTAATGATAACTAAGCAATTGCTTTATGGGGGAGTTTGATCAGTTCGAGAATAAACCAGTTTTGTTATCTGTGTACCCAAATAAAAGAGAAAAGTATGATGACAATCATATTTTAAGATGTGTGAAATAAAGATAAGTTGTGCACTTTCATGCAAAAGTCGATCTTGCTAAATTGGTATGTCAATGCAGTATCTGGTTACTCTAATCATTGCTGTGAACCATTTTCGTCGCAATAAAGTTGTACAAATATTGTACACGCTTTTTCAGAAGTAGTCAAACATTCTAAATCGTTAACAAGTGTTCACGGGTGCATTATTTTGAAAAATGGTAATCGTCAAAAAAAGAAGAGAAGATCTTATGCTCAAGTTTGTATCAGATATTACATCATTGTTTATTCCGTATTGGTTTATCTTAGTTTAGTCAACTCTCTTTATAAGGACCAATTTGCTTTGCCCGAGGTGGTCCTTATAAAAAGAGTTTTTTGCCCAATACTGAAGAAATTTATTTGAGGAACAACGTGGTGGTCAATGCATATGTCAGAATACAGTTTTTAATGAAAAAATACGGTTACCAGGTACAAAAGTGGCAAAAACCTGGTATCTGGAATCTGAGAACGAAGAATTAACATATATGGTGTTGTATATGGGAAACAAAATAACATCATTATCAATTTCAGATCTCAGACTCCAGACAAGAAACCTAGCAAGTCTGGTTTTATAACTATATCTTATTGAATAAAATTTATACGTTTTCTATTAGATTAGATTGCGTCTTTTTGAATACGCAAGCGGAAAGAATTAAAATTAATGAATTCAAGCAATTGAAGTCAAACCGTTTGGTTACACAGTTAATCAACTCACAGTTACGCATAATCTTATCGGATGCCAATAATAACATGACTACTTTCATAACAACAATATACTAAATACACAGGCAAACTCGATAAGTCGGTCGCGGATGGCTGGGCATGGTAGACTGACTTATTGTTATCGAAAGCCACGTGTGATTAATTTAATATAATGTTGTAATGAGAATAAATAAATAATAATTAAAATAAATATAGAAGGCAAATCGTTAAACAGTAAAAATTGTTATACTAAATAAATATCCATGCTCGGTTGTGTTGAAGAATCTCTTAATTCTGAAATGAGTGAACTGTTTACTTTTACGTCGTTATTTTGCAGCAAATAACTGTGTGCATTTTGAATGCTTTCTAAAGCGCTTTGTTTTTGCCGTCATCTTCTCCTTTATTCTCAGGAGCTGCACTTACGGAACGACCGTATGTACAAATTTCTTGCTTTCCAATATATACAGTTGGTCACATAATCATCACCACCCGATATGTTGCTGATTAATTTTGCACTGAACTTCTATTACCTTTTCATGAAATTTTATACTTCATACCATGACAAAACCATGACAAATCATAATTTACTTTTTGACAAAAAGTAAAAAATAAAGTAGTAAGCAAGCATTTTTGTTGCCATGACAAAATCATAATTTCCTTTTTGATAAAAAGTAAGTAATAATATTTGTAAATGATGATCGAAAAGAACTAATACCATTAATGAATGAACAGCCCGTCATGCAATTTTTATATTTAAAGTCACCAAGTCAATTGCTCTTTTACTCTAAATAAAAAGTAATTAATAATCAATAAATAACAGAATTATTATACAGCATTCTGCTATGCAGTAAAATACTTTCTAAAAGCACTCAGTAATACCTTGCAAGAATCAGTGCATTTTCTCCAAAAGGCACAGTCTCTATTCATGTGAAAATGTGTTGTATTCCAGGCCATCAACTGTTGAAAGTTCACAAACGTTGAATTTTGAATGTACACCGAATGAACTACTTTCGGTTTGTTTAGATTCTGATAAAAGTTTAATCAGTTGTTCTGGAGCCTTCTTGAGTTCTTCCCTTTGTATTGTATTGACACATAAAATGTTTAAGATGAGAATATGCATTACATTCTGACTTCTTATCGACTTATTGTAACGGTTGCGGCATAAAAATTCGTTGCCTACATCTAGGTGTTTACTCAAACTTGGTATCGCTTCCGCTCGGATGCGCCATGCTGCTCAATAATCGCAGATGATGTCCTCCAAATCACAATATTGATCCTGTTTTCTAGTTAGCATAGACATCTTGCTCAAAACAATAGTACGCGCTTGTTTTGTAATAAATAGGAACGTCTTCTACAACAGAACGTCAAATGCGCATTTTCACAATACAGTCGTTTCCCCATATAGTTACCGCGTTGGGGCAGGTCATTCAGGGTAGTGACTATAAATTGTTTAGTCAAAAATATAGATAAATAAAGTTGCCAAGTGATTATACCTTATCATCGGAAATAATAAGAACGAAAAGTTACTGCAAGAAAACATACCTATTAAAGCAACTTTATTATTCTAATGTTATAATAATATGAGTATTCAAACATTCTCTATATGAGCGGAAAAATAGCTATATTGGGTAAAAATTTAATAACACTGATTTTCACTATACATAGTAGCCATGCATTTATACAAGGGCAATCGCAGCAGAACAAGGGCTCAATTTAATCTTGCTGTTACCATGGTCGCCGTTCATTTCCCCGACAATTATTCCCAATTATTTCGACACTAATCGTTAATGCTCATCAAAACGTCTAAATTCACCCACCAGATTTAAATCAACTACCTATGAAAGATAACTTCGAAATATTTTTCGGGAAATGATTGTCGGGTAAATAAACTGTCGGAAGTGATTTTCGAGGAACCTGTTACAATAATAGGACTGGATTAGAAAAAGCAGTTGAATGGTGTAAAAAACTAGTTGAACAAGGACATGCTGGTGGGGTGCGATAAATAATGTCGTCTTTCTTAACGTCTTCTTTTATACAGTTTTTAGCTGATGATTAATAAGTTAATATTAATATAATTTTAACAAAGCCTACCGGCTCTCCCAAAAATGCTTCAAATACTACGCTTCGGTTTAGTCGAAATAATATCGCTTAATAAAAAAAAGGTAACCTGAAGCGTTTTCTTATACATCGCCGCCACGTTTACAGATATTCATGCAAAGTTTATATATCAGAGAAAGCCTATCATTGTCCAATTGTGCTGTTTTGTGTGCTAATCAAAGACTTGCGTTTTTACCATTTTACTTATGTTGTTGAAAATAGTTTTTTTATCTCATAATTAATTATCTATCCGAGATAAGCATAACGAGTAAAGTTCATAATATTATGTGGCTTTGATTCTGTGATTGACAAGAATAGAACTAAATACAGTATATTTATATCTAATTTTATATCGTACGTGCGAGAATGTCCAAAGTTGTTTTCAAGGATGCAGCAAATACTCTTTTTTTATAAACCATCGGCTAAATTTTAAATTATATATACCCAAACATTTCTAATAATAATAATATATATAACACAATACAAATTTATCGTACAATTTTCAGCTAACCAAGACTATAAACATTCAGCAAGCATGTTAAAATAAATATGTAAATAAAAACCAAAGTCAACCGCCGCACGCATCCAACCGCTTTTGAATAATGGCACGGTATCGTTCTTTGCGGAGCGGGACTTCATTACATTCCTTCTCATAATCGGTCAACATCTGTTCGAACTCTTCTTCTGTAATCCTCATAATATGAGTAAAAATAATTTTCATTGCTTTATATGCCTCTACGAGGCATTTCAATGTCTAAACAGCAAAGCGTTAATTAATTATAAACGTCTGTCATGAGCACTTTTTCCTTAAATATTATATGCTTTGTTTACTTACCGCTTCACCTATTCTACCTGCTTTCTTCCCAAAATAGTATGTTCTTTCTTCTATGGGTGCTACAATCACTTTATCCTTGAACTCATTAAATGTATCTATTACACCCGCACATGACGATCGATTGATTCCGGCTTTATAAAAATGTTCCTCTACTACATTTTAATAATGGGGAAAAGATATCCGGGTTTAGCGAGGCAAGCTACACACTCAAAACGCATGCGCATACAATTCGTCAGATACTTACAATAAGCATTAATCTTTTCGTTTATTGTTCCCGGATTTACAATTTCACGTTGTATATCCATAATTTCGATATAACCTCCAGGCTTAGTTACTCTTATTAATTCTTTTACCACTTTCTCTTTCCATGATCGCCAATTGATACAGATTATGACAAATGCTTGTCGAACAAAATCAAACGTGTTATCTGGGAACGGTAGACCATCCATGATGTTACACTTAAGAAATGCCACATTGGCTGGATGACTTTCGGGGAATAAAGGAGCGATATCTATCCCAACAAATATTGAAACAGGGTAATCCAAGGCCATATTCATTATCCATGCTCCTGCGCCGCAACTGGTTAATTATGGAAATCATTAATACGGGCGGTCTAGAATATTGAAACTTGTATATGTACAGTATATATATATATCTTGTTCTTCAACTTCAGCCGCGATAATGTATTTACCCAATATCAAGAACACTTGCTCCTAATGATAGATTATCGGAAACGGGAGCAGAGTAGTTACCTCCCCACATAGTTTTGTCTATGAAATGTCGGTCGTATGTCCTTTCTACTTCTTTCTGGTCGCTGGGCAGATAATATTTTAGTGATTTTAGTGTATCGTCGTTCAAATAACGTCTTCCGCCGACTTCTACAAATTTTTCTAGCACATTTTCTGGTTTCATAACAGCCTCAATTGGATCCATTAATGATACCGAATACGTTGGAGTGTTGACTTCTATTTCATTTTCAGTGCTCCCATATGATATGCCCGACTCGGTGTCTGAAAAGTCGAACATTTTTAAGGAAGCGGGTCTGTTTGTACGTATCCTATCCATTTTGAATGATAATGAAAAATGTGTGTGTGCACAGACCCTTTCAACCAGCGAGATCTTTTAAGGGAGTTGAAAAGTAATGTTACATGAGAGTGCTATTGTCACGACATGATGTGACACAATTGTGGTTAATGTTATTGGTCAAGTATTTAATCATTACGTAATACTCTAAGACGAGTTGAACCTTACTTATTCTTATGTTGTGTTGAATTCAAAGAGACACACATGCACGCAGACAATACGTCGTTTAAGTTGATAGCTTTGGCTTGATCGGTAAAGTTCCATCAAGTTGATGAATCGTATGAAGTCTTGTAGCAAGAAACTCTTCAAAGAGCTGTTAGGGAAACTGCAATGCAATGCAGCTGTTATATTGCTGGTCACAACTTATATGCGCAATAAAGTTCATGTCATACCGCTAATTAAGTCCTCACGTACTTGTCCTATAACAATGTGGCACTGACCAGTTATGGTGAAACTTTCGGCTCATGTTTATCCTCTTCGCCCAATGAGAGTACTATTGCTAAAGCTACGTACAGGAGGAGACTGTATTTGCATCTTTTGGAACAGACCTACTTGGCCCTTTCGAAAGTTCTCTGGTTTATGTAATTGTTAATTAAAAATAAGCGGAGGTTAGGTTACACCCACAACATCACTTACGATTGAAAAGAAACACTCACGCTTTCTATTCTTCATCCTATATAATGTTATGCGGTATTATATTGTGTGAATGATAAAAGACGAGCTTGTATTGCACAAATCAATTACTATTACTGTCCGTCAGAATGCTTACCTAATGATAACTAAGCAACTGCCTGGTTGGTCGATCATATTCTGAATATGTGAAATAAAGATAAAGATTTATTTTTTTGCGGAAAGTCGAGTCGATCTGCTAAATTGGTGTGCTAGTCTTTTCAAATTAGGTTTGGTTGTGTTACTTTTTTTAATTCAACTGTTCGTTTTCCCAACTTTCAAATCTCGTTAACAAGCGCTCACGAGTTATAAACATGTAACATCAAGAACATTCCTATTTCAGCTCATTCATCATCGATAAAACTCCTCATCAAGAAAAGAAGAGAAGATATACTCAAGTTTTGTACTGAATACATAAAATGTTTAATTAGTTTTTTTTTTTTTTTGTTGCTTGAGGAACGATGTGGTCAATGCGTATGCTGTTAGCGTTCAATCACATAAAGCCATAAGTTTCAGAATACAGTTTTTTAATGAAAAGACTTCTCCACGGTGGTACGCAGATGTTATGCTGTAGTGCTTCTCAAGCCAGTATACAGTATCAGTTTACAATGGTATCGGTAGCCATAGGATGGATGATATATCAATTTGTTATAAACATTTGACAGTTCAAACTTTATTATTGTAACGAATATGTGGGTATGTGATGTCCCACTACGAAACTTTGAATACGAATAATATATAAGTATTATATTTCTTGGCAACGATTACATTTGTTTATTAATGTATCCTCTATTTTGGATTCGGTGTACCAATAAACCCATCTTTTTAACTGTATTTCTTGGCTATCCAGGCAGTAAATATTCGGTCACCTTGGTGAGCCGTTGTGTAATGAAATTTGTTGTTATAGAAGAAACGCGCTCTAAGCTAACTACGTTTAAACCCTACAAAAAAAAAACAATTCAACAAGTACTTTGTACAGAACATAATGTTGGGTGGTGAAATGGAAACCAACTCTTGCCAGTTTGCAATAATTCTCGTCATTATTTAATTCTTTGAGGGTGTCAAACTGCTTTATGTCAGTTGTCGCAGAAAAATTGGGAATAGACATCTTAAATTTATATCTTAAAAAAGTCAGAGTATTGGTCTTTTTTTTCTAAAAACGTCAATATCCTTTGGTGTATAGAACGTTATTATCACTGGATTATGGCAACTTGAAAAGCATCCAAATACCGGGCAAGTCTATGTGATAATTTAATTTGTTTCTTTTGTAATTTGTTAGTCTTACTTTGTCATGAACTAAAGTCCTCAATTGTGTAATCTCTCAGCTTGCGTGCAAAAAACAAACTTATAATAAGTACGCCAAAAACAGCATGTTTTAGTTCCGAACCCAGGCACACTCAGTTGTCTCGGTCCATAACTGAGACAGGTCCCCAAGGTACATAAATCTCGACAGACACAAAATTGCCATTTAATCCAAAAATCTTGACAGTTTAGTGAAGTTATAAATGTTGTCTCTGAGTTTGGGACCTGTCTCCGTACGGAAACCCAGTGTCTCGGTCCAGAACCCAGACACTCGGTCCAGAACTCAATTGTCTCAGTCCAGAACTGAGACAAGTCCCCAACTGAGATACAACATAAATACGAGTCGTAATCAATAGTTAAAAATTATCTTCAGAACAATCTTCAGTTTAGATCATTCAGCAAGACGTTGCTATTAGGATTATTTGTTTATTCCCTAATAAAAGATACTTAGTATCGTTGGCGAAGTGTACCGCTTTTCCCGTCGACGGGTAAATAGAATTAATCCTTGCCAATTAATTCTATTTAGTACTTTTGCACTCAGGGTTATTGTTTAATTATTGTTAACAGTTTAGATAAAATAATTCCCCGAACTGATAGGCTCTGAGACTAATCCCATCAGAGAAATCAAAGTGGTTAAGCCCACGTATACAAGATCGATAGTATACAGATCGTGAGTACAAATCCTAGTTTAAAGGTCACTAATTGTATTGATATTTAGTTTAAAGTAGGAAGAGCAAAGGCTTCCGTCAGAAAAAAACTAAATCCCAAAACGGCTAGTACACCCAGGTGTAAGCTAGCTCGACATATACCTGAGAAAGCCTATCATTGTTCAATTGTGTTGCTTTGTCCTAAGAAGGTTTGTTAAAACATTTTCAGAGACTTGTCATTTTACATTATTACCTTTGTAAGTGCAAAATGCTCTGTTGTTGAAAATAGTTTCTTAATATTATAATTAATTATCTACCCGAGAGACAAGCATTATAGCAACTAAAGTTGCATTTTCACAATATTATGTGTGTAATTAACAAAATTAAAATTGAATGTAAGTCTAATTAATTTTAAGTCTAATTTTATATCGTACGGTGAGGGTGCTCAAGGATGTTGTAGGTACTCGTTTTTTAAACTATCGGTAAGATAAACCTCAAATTTGAATTATCATTTCTAAAAAAATAGTAATACATATACAACAAAACAAATTTATTACGCAATTTTACAAATATTCAGCAAGCATGTTGAAATAAATATGTAAATAAAATCCAAAGTCAATTGCCGTACGCATTCAACGCTTTTGAATAATGGCACGGTATCGTGTTTTGCAGGGCATGACTTCGTTACATTCCTTCTCAAAATCAATCAACATCTGTTCGCACTCTTCTTCTGTAATCCCCATAATATGAGTGAGAATAATTTTCATTCCTCTATATGCCTCCACGACACATTTCAATGTCTAAACAGCAATAGCGTTAATTAATTATAAACGTCTGTCATGAGCACTTTTTCCTTAAATATTATACACTTTGTTTACATACTTACCGCTTCACCTATTCCACCTGCTTTCTTCCCAAAACAGTACGTCCTTTCTTCTATGGGTGCTACAATCACTTTATCCTTGAACTCATTAAATTTTTCTATTACGTCTGTACCGGACGTTGGGTTAATTCCGGCTTTACGAAGATGTTCCAATACTACAATTCAAATATGGGAAAAGTAGCCTGATTTAGCGAGGCAAGCTACGCACTAAAAACGCATACGCATCAGATACTTACTACTAGTGTCAATCTTTCGGCTTATTATTCCCGGATTTATAGGTTCGCGGTATACATCCATAATTTCGATATACCCTCCAGGCTTAGTTATTCTTATTAATTCTTTCACCACTTTCTCTTTCCATGCTTGCCAATTGATACTGATTACGACAAATCCTTGTCGAACAAAATCGAATGTGTTATCTGGAAACGGTAGACCATCCATGATATTACACTTAAGAAATATCGAATTGGGTGGATGATCTTCGGGGAATACAGGAACGACATCTATTCCAACAAATACTGAAGCAGAGTAGTCCGATGCCATATTCATTATCCATGCTCCTGCGCCACAACTGTTTAGTTATAGCGATAGAAACCGTTAATACGAGCGGTCTAGAAACTTGTATATGTACAGTATATATTTTTTGTTCAATTTAGCCGCGATAATGTATTTACCCAACATCAAGAACACTTGCTCCTAATGATAAATTCTCGGAAACGGGAGCAGAGTAGTTACCTCCCCATATAGTTTTGTCAACGCAATTTCGGTCGTGCGCCCTTTTTACTTCTTCTTGGTCAGCTGGCAAAAAACACTTTACTGTATTGTCGTTCAAATAACGTCTTCCGCCGGCTTCTACAAACTTTTCTAGCAAATTTTCTGGTTTCATAACATTTTCAATTGGGTCCATTAGGGATGGCGAATACGTTGGAGTGTTGACTTCTGTTTCATCTTCAGTGCTCTCATATGATATGCCCGAATCGGTGTCTGAGATGTTGAACGTTTTTAAGGAAGCGGGTTTGTCTGTATGTATCTTCTCCATTTTGAATGATAATGAGATATATGTGTACGGAGTTCTTTTAAGGAGTTGAAAAGTAATGTTACATGAGAGTGCTGTTGTCACAATATGATGTGACGCAAGTACGGTTAACATTATCTGAATAATAATGTACAATGTACCAACGAAACTTCGATTAATCATTACGTAATACCTTAAGACGAGTTGTACTTAACGTCGTGGCATTTATGTTGAATTCAAAGTGACACACAGACACGCAGATTACAATACATCGTTTAAGCTGATAGCTTGGCTTGATCGATAAAGTCTTTAAAAAAATTTAATCGCATGAAGTCTTTGTAGCAAAAAACTCTGTTAGGAAAACTGCAATACAGTTGATACGAATTGCCATGTGATGTTGCTAATTAATTAAGTTCTCAGGTATTTTGTCTAGACACTCCCACTCCCACAAAAAAGAAACACTCACGCTTTCTATTCTTCATCCTTTACCACATATGTAATGTTCTGAGGACCGGGTATACTGTGTGAATGATAAAAGACGAGGAAGGATTTGCAGGATATTAAGCTTGTACTACACGAATTAATTACTATGCCTTGTTATATCTATCATACAGTCCTACTCAGAATGCTTACCTAATGATAACTAAGCAACTGTCTCATGGGGTGAGTCGGCAAAGTTTAATATGATGATGATCATATTCTGAGATGTGAAAATAAACACACACTTCATTCCTTTAGTAGAAAATTGTTTTGTTACGCACTTTGGTATCTGCGGATGTTATTTAGCAGCTACTGTATTTGGTTTGTGCAAGCAAAGTCGCCTTCTCTTCTTTTCTCGATGAGGATATTTACCGATGATGAACGAGCTGAAATAAGAATGTTCTTGATGATTAAATTTTTTTTTAAAAAAAAATGCAAAAATTTAACTCGTGAACGCTTGTTGACGAGATTTAAAAGTTGGGGGAAACGAATAGCTGATTAAAAAATTATTTGACTACTTATCAACAAAACCAAACTAATTTGATAATGTATGTTAATTAAAGATACATTAGCATACCAATCTAAGATCATATACTTAAGTTTATACTGGATACACAGCATATTTCATCAAATTACTATTTATCTGTATTTGGTTTATCCCTAGTATTTTTTTTGTTGCTTAACAATGTGGTCAATGCGTATGCCGTTAGTGTTTGGTCACATAAAGCCATAATTTACACGAGTTTCAGAGTATAATTTTTTGGTGAAAAACTCTTCTCCACGAAAAGTGGGACACAGATAAAGGAAAACTGTTATGTTGTAAGAAATGTTATTGCAAAAATTTCTCAAACCAGTATACAGTATCAATTTACAATGAGTATTGGTTGGTAGTTTGATATCGACATGGTATAACAGTTCAAACTTCATTATTGTTAGAATATGTGGGTATGTGCGTGATGTCCCGTCACAAACCTTTGAATACTAAGTATTATATTTCTTGGTAACAATTAATTTGTAATTCACTTGTTTATTAATATGTGCAGACTTCCTCTATTTCGGATTCGGTATACCAATAAAAACTGTATTTCTTGGCTATCCAGTCAGTAAATACTCGGTCACCTTGGTGAGAAACACGCTCTTAAGCTAACTATGTTTAACCACCCCCCCAAAAAAGGGACGATTCAACAGTTGGGTGACGAAATGAAAACTAACTTTTTCCAGTTTGCAACAATTCGAGGCTGTCGCAAAAGGAAACTATAAAAATGGCAATAGGCATCTTTAATTTATGAAAAATTTTTTTAAAAGTCAGGGTATTGGTCTTTCTTTTCTAAAAACCTTCCAGAGTGCAGAACGTTGAACGAGGTTTTATGATCATTGAATGGCAACTTGAAAAAGCATACAGATACCGGGTGAGTCTATGTGATACTCTTAATTTGTCCCTTATTACTTTATCGTGAACTTAATTTATGTAAAATCCTCAATTGTGTAATCTCTCAGCTTGCATGCAAAAACAAACTTACAATAAATGCGCCGAACCTGCATCTTTAACTGGGATAGTTGTTGTTAACCTATATTAGATTTCTAAGTCAAACATTTATTGTAGACATAATAGTAATTCCTAGTCCATGTTTTAATCAAATATTATTTATAAAAAAAGGCAAACCGAGACATTCTCACTATCAATCGTCTCCATGCTTACAGATTGACATATACGTGTATTTATGCAAAGTTTATATACCTGAGAAAGCCTATCATTGTCCAATTGTGTCGCTTAAGAAGGTTCGTTAAAAACATTATTTAATCAGAAACTTGCATTTTTGCCATTTTAGTTATTGCAATGTTCTGTTGTTTAAAATAGTTTTTTAACCTGTAATTAATTATCTACCCAAGAGACAAGCATATAGCGAGTAAAGTTGCGTTTTTACAATATTATGTGCCTTTGGTTATGTAATTAACAAAAATAAAACCAAACATAAATATAATTTATTTTATATCTAATTTTATATTGTACGTTGTGAGGGTGTCCAAGTTGTTTTCAAGAATGTTGTAGGTATCGTTTTTTTTTTTAAAAAAAAAATCAAAACAAACAACACGCTGTTTTTTAAATCTAGGCAAAATAACCCTCAAATTTAAATTAAATAGTAATAATAATAATAATAATAATAATAATACTAATAATACATATAAATATACAAGCTGTAACACAATACAAAATTATTGTACAATTTTACAAAGATTCAGCAAAATAAATATGTAAATAAAAACCAAAGTCTGCAATACACATTCAACGCTTTTGAATAATGGCACGGTATCGTGATCTGTGGGACATGACTTCATCACATTCCTTTTCATAATCAATCAACATCTGTTCGAACTCTTCTTCTGTAATCCCCATAATATGAGCGAAAATAATTTTCATTCCTCTATATGCCTCCAGGGTATATTTCAATGTCTAAACAGCAAAACGTTAATTAATTGTTATGAGCACTTTTTTCCTTAAATATTATACACTTTACTTACCGCTTCACCTATTCTACCTGCTTTCTTCCCAAAATAGTATGTCCTTTCTTCTATGGGTGCTACAATCACTTTATCCTTGAATTCATTAAATGTTTTTATTACGTCTGTACCGGACGCTGGGTTGATTCCGGCTTTGCGAAAATTTTCCATTACTACAATTTAAATATTGGGGAAAGGTAGCCGGGTTTAGTGAGGGGTAAGCTACACACTCAAAACATACGCATACTGATACATACGATTCATAGATACTTACAATAAGAGTCAATCTTTTGACATATTATTCCCGAATTTGTAGGATCGCGGTATACATCCATAATTTCGATATACCCTCCGGGCTTAGTTATTCTTATTAATTCTTTCACCACTTTCTCTTTCCATGCTTGCCAATCGATACTGATTACGACATATCCTTGTCGAACAAAATCGAATGTGTTATCTGGAAACGGTAGACCATTCAGGATATTACACTTAAGAAATACCGAATTGGATGGATGATTTTCGGGGAATAAAGGAATAATGTCTATTCCAACAAATACCGAAACAGGGTAGTCCAAGGCCATATCTGTTATCCATGCTCCTGCGCCACATCTGGTTAGTTATAGAATCATTAATACGGACTGTCCAGAATGTATATATATGCACAGTGTATATATCTTGCTGATCAAAGTTCTTCAACTTTGGTCGCGATAAATGTATTTACCCAACATCAAGAACACTTGCTCCTAATGATAGATTTTCGGAAACGGGAGCAGAGTAGTTACCTCCCCATATAGTTTTCTCTACGTAATTTTGGTCGTGCGCCCTTTTTACTTCTTCTTGGTCAGCTGGCAAAAAACACTTTACTGTATTGTCGTTCAAATAACGTCTTCCGCCGGCTTCTACAAACTTTTCTAGCAAATTTTCTGGTTTCATAACATTTTCAATTGGGTCCATTAGGGATGGCGAATACGTTGGAGTGTTGACTTCTGTTTCATCTTCAGTGCTCTCATATGATATACCCGAATCGGTGTCTGAGATGTTAAACGTTTTTAAGGAAGCGGGTTTGTTCGTACGTATCTTCTCCATTTGAATGGTAATAAAATATGTGTACGGAGTTCTTTTAAGGAGTTGAAAAATAATGTTACATGAGAGTGCTGTTGTCACAATATGATGTGACGCAGTATGGTAGCATTATTAGTAATTATTTTTGATTAATATTTTAAATGTTACGAGACCCACAGACACGCAAATTACAATACATATTCGATAAAGTCTCTATCAAGTCTAAAAAATTAAATCGTATGAAGTCTGTAGCAAAAAACTCTTCAAGAATCGGAAAACTGGCATACAGTTGATGCGAATTTTAAGTTGGGATTATTTGCCAAGTAATGTGTTACTAATTAAATCCTCGGACGCTTTGTCCTATACTATAAACATGCACTACTATTTATAAAGCACAACGTGATAGTAAAACTATTTACTTTTAGCTCTCGTCCAATGGTAGTAATTGTAATTGCGTTCTACCAATGATAGTTTGTCAATTAAAAATAAGTGATGGTAGGTTACACCACAGGCACTCCCAATACCCACAACAGGTTATCGATTATCTTAAGAAAAAGAAACGCTCACGCTTTCTATTCTTTATCCTATATATAATGTTCTGAAAACCGGGTATATTGTGTGAATGATAAAAGACGAGGAAGATATTGCACGAATCAATTACTATATCTATCATACAGAATGCTTACCTAAGCAACTGCCTCAATGGACAAAGTTTAATATGATGATGATCATATTCTGAGATGTGAAAATAAACACTCACTTCATTCCTTTAGTAGGAAATTGTTTGGTTACGCACTTTGGTATTTATCTGCAGATGTTATCTAGCAGTGTCACTGTATTTGGTTTGTGCAGCAAAAGTCGATCTTGCTAAATTGTGGTATACTAATGTAGTATATATACATCAATTAGTTGAGTAGTCAAACATACCTTTTTAATTCAGCTATTTATTCGTTTTCCCAACTTTCAAATCTCATCAACGAGTTAAATTTTTGCATTTTTTTAAAAAAAAAAAAAAAACCATTTAATCATCAAGAACATTCTTATTTCAGCCCATTCATCATCGGTAATTTTCTCATCGAGAAAAGAAGAAAAGATATACTCAAGTTTTGTATTGGGTACACAGAATGCTTTATCAAATTACTATTTATCTATATTTGGTTTATCCTTAGTGTTTTGTTGTTGTTGTTGTTGTTGTTTTTTAATGAAAAACTCTTATCCACGAGGAGTTGAGACGCAGATGAAGAAAAACCGCCATGTCGTGGAAATTTTATTGCAAGAATTTTTCAAGCCAGTATACAGTATCAATTTACAATGGTATTGGTAGCTCGATATCGACATAGGATGAGTGATATATCAATTTTTATAAGACAGTTCAAACTTCATTATTGTTACAATTGTTACAAATATGTGGGTATGTGCGTTAAATCCCGATACGAAACTTTGAATACAAACAATATATAAGTATTATATTTCTTGGCAACAATTAATTCGTTTATTAATATATGCGGACTTTCCTCTATTTCGGATAATAAAAACATCTTTTAACCGCATTTCTCGGCTATCCAGTCGGTAAATACTCGGCTACTTGGTGAGATGTTGTGTAACGAAATTTGTTTGTTACAGAAGAAACACGCTCTAAGCTAACTACGTTTAAACCCCCCACAAAAAGGACGATTTAACAAGCACTTTGTACAGAACATAATGTTGGGTGGCGAAATGGAAACTAACTCTTGCCAGTTTGCAACAATTCTTGTCATTAATCAATTTTCTTTCGAGGCTGCCACAGAAGGAAACTATAAAAATTGTGGAATATATATCTTTAATTTATGAAAAAAAGTCAGAGTATTGGTCTTTCTTTCCTAAAAACCTTTGGATAACGAGGTTCTATTATCATTAAATATGGCAACTTTAGAAGAATTCAAATACCGGGTGAGTCTATGTGATACTCTTAATTTGTTCCTTTATACTTTGCTAGTCTTACTTTATTATGAACTTAATTCCTCAATTGTGTAATCTCTCAGTTTGCATGCAAAAACAAGCTCATAATAAGTACGCCGAAACCAACATTTTTAACTAAAATAGTTTTTGTTAATATTAACTTATATTAAATTTCTAATTTTTTTTCTCAGTTGAACATCTATTGGTCGTATTAGTAATTCTTGGTCATGTTCTTGATCTAATGTTATTTATAAAAAAAAGGTAACCTGAGACGTTCTCACTATCAATCGTCGCCATGTTACAGATTGACACATACGTGTATTTATGAAAAAGTTTATATACCTGAAAAAGCCATTGTCCAATTGTGCTGCTTTGTCCTGAGAATGTTCGTTAATTATCTACCCAAGAGACAAGCATAGCGAGTAAAGTTGCATTTTTATAATATTACGTGCCTTGATTATGTAATTAACGAAAATAAAACCAAACATGAATCTAATTTATTTTATATCTAATTTTATATCGTAGTGTGAGGGTGCCCAAAGTTATTTTCAAGGATGCTGCAGGAACTCGTTTGTTTTTTTAAACCATCGGCAAATTACCCTCAAATTTAAATTACCATTTTTAAATAATAATAATAGTAATAGTAATAGTAATAATAATAATAATAATAATAATAATGATAATGATAATAATGATAAATACATATACAAGCTGTAACACGACACAAATTTATTGTACAATTTTACAAAGATTCAGCAAGCATGTTAAAATAATATGTAAATAAAAACCAAAGTTAACCTTCGTGCGCATTCAACGCTTTTGAATAATGGCACGATATCGTGTTTTGCAGAGCGTGACTTCGTTACATTCCTTCTCATAATCAGTCAACATCTGTTCGAACTCTTCTTCTGTAATCCTCATAATATGAGTGAAAATAATTTTCATTGCTTTATATGCCTCCACGGTATACTTCAATGTCTAGCAGCAAAACATTAATTAATTATAGATGTCTGTTATGGGCACTTTTTATACACTTTGTTTACTATACTTACCGCTTCACCTATTCTACCTGCTTTCTTCCCAAGACAGTATGTTCTTTCTTCCATGGGTGCTACAATCACTTCATCCTTAAACTCGTTAAATGTTTTTATTACGTCCAAACCGGCCGTTGGGTTAATTCCGGTTTTACGAAGATGTTCTAATACTACAATTTTAAATAAAAGAAAAAGTAATCAGGGTTAGCGAGGCAAGCTACACACTCAAAAACGCATCCGCATCCGCATCCGCATATGCGTACGATTCATCAGATACTTACTACTAGTGTCAATCTTTTGGCATATTATCCCCGGATTTATACCTTCGCAGTATACATCCATAATTTCGATATATCCTCCGGGCTTAGTTACTCTTATTAATTCTTTTACCACTTTCTCTTTCCATGCTTGCCAATCGATAGTGTATAAGAGATATCGTTGTCGAACAAAATCGAATGTGTTATCTGGAAACGGTAGACCATTCAGGATATTACACTTGAGAAATATCGAATTGGGTGGATGATCTTCGGGGAATACAGGAACGACATCTATTCCAACAAATACTGAAGCAGAGTATTCCAAGGCCATATTCATTATCCATGCTCCTGCGCCACAACTGGTATAGTTATAGAAATCATTAATACCTAATACGATCCAGAATGTATATATACAGTATAATAATCAATTTAAATGTATTTACCCAACATCGAGAACACTTGCTCCTAATGATAGATTTTCGGAAACGGGAGCAGAGTAGCTATTTCCCCATATAGTTTTTTCTACGTAATTTTGGTCGTGCGCCCTTTTTACTTCTTCTTGGTCAGCGGGCAAAATACATTTAACTGTATTGTCGTTCAAGTAACGTCTTCCGCCGACTTCTACAAACTTTTCTAGCACATTTTCTGGTTTCATAACAGCCTTAATTGGATCTATTAGGGAAAGCGAATACAGTGGAGTGTTGACTTCTGTTTCATCTTCAGTGCTCTCATATGATATGCCCGAATCGGTGTCTGAGCCATTGAACATTTTTAAGGAAGTGGGTCTGTTCGTACGTATCCTATCCATTTTGAATGATAATGAGATATATATGTGCCGAGGTCTTTTAAGTTGAAAGTAATGTTACATAAGAGTGCTGCTGTCACATTATGATGTGATGCAAGTTGGGGTTAGCATTATTGGTAAGTATTTGAATAAGGGAAACTTTGATAAAAACGAGTTGAATTTATGGAGCGGACAGAACAGACACGCAGATTACAATACGTTATTTAAGCTTGATTACGCCTCGGCTTGATCGGTAAAGTGTGTAATCGTTTTTCCTGCTTGTTCTTTCCATCAAGTTGATAATTAAGTCTTTGTAGCAAAAAAACTCTGTTAGGAAAACAGTTGAAGCGAATTTTAAGTTTGGATTATTGCCCATGTGATGTCACTAATTAAGGGTTCGGGGATTTTGTCCTATAATACGGCGGAGAAATTATCAACTGTACTACGATTTATATAAAGTACAACATGATGGTAAACTTTTAGTTCTCTGTTTATCCGCCTCATCCAATGGTAGTAATTGTAGTGTCAAATAAAGGACACCAATGATAGTAAGTGTCAATTAAAAATAAGTTTACACCCAATATTCTTATGCAGGTTATTACCCTTTTCGACTGTCTTGAGAAAAGAAAACACCCGCACTCTCTATTCTTCCTCCTTAAGACATATGTGATGTGTATATTGTGCGAATGATAATAGACGAGGAAGGATGTGCACGATATCAAGCTTGTATTGCACAAATCAATTGTCATATCTATCATACAGTTACTAATCGGTTTGAGAATACGACTGATATTCAATATTTTCGTCTGTCTACATAACCAAATAGAAGATAAAGACTCCATTCCATGCCTTTACAGAGAAACAATTTAAGTTTGGTCGTAGAATTTGTGTTACGCACTGTTTCCCATGGTTCGTACAGCGACATCGATCTTGCTTAAATTAGTACGAATCAATAAAATGCTACATCAAACACAAGTATCCAAATTAGTACATACGCCGTCATACAACTCATTTGTGTATTATCAACCGAGTCTTGCGAATACTGTAAAGACTTGCACAAGTTTGAATTTATCTTCCAAACAAACTTGTCTTCTTCACTAAATTATAGTTCTGTTGTTACCGGACTAGTTGTTCCGGATGCATGTCAGAATTCTTTGAATATAAAACTGTAGACACATTCATTGATTATTCGATATTATCATGAATTGAAATGTTCACTAATTGCAAAGTTTTATGTAACGAAAGTCACTTAGTAATACGGGTATGCAACCGCGGCAATAATAAGAACTTACTAATTATATTCTATGACGAAATGGTTGCTAAACTTCTTGAAAAATAAGTACAAAAGAGCATAATCTGGGGTTTAAGCTGGATATACAGTACGTGGTAATATTGAATGTAACACTTATTTAAACTGACAAATTTTTTCAAGCTTGGTATCTATTAAATTATAAGACTGGGAAGAAATAAACTAATGTTGCTATTTTTATACAACTTAACGGGGATATTATCATGAGTCGAACAACTTTGAGGTCGTTCAGCAATTGGCATCAGGTTGGAGTTTTGCGTTCTTTATTTGTTTACACCATTGGCATCAGGTTGGGCGAGTCTCTATTGGCGCTATTATTGTTATCCTTGTGTCAAGACAAAATATTTGAGTATTTATATTTTCCGGCCAGGCACAGAATTTAGTTTAGCATATTAATGCTAATATCGTGTGCTATTTCCAGTATTTAGTCAACTTTGATCCGTTATGTAATAAAAACCAAAGACCATAATGCACCCGAGCATGCGAATTAATATTAGTTTACTAATGGACCAAAAATCAAGCAATTAATTAATAAAATTATTAGAATACAATGGTTAGCACCTATAATAATAAAGACAAGGGTTTTGATCAAAAGTCAGTAATGGCTAGAATTTGTCTTTAATGTTACATTGGCAAGCGAGTATGTTCTGTTTACTAATGGATAAATTCACTATCTCCTTCGTTGCTGATTGGTGTACCGTTTCGTTTTGATGATCAGATCAAATTAAAGCTCATTTTATTAAACTTCAAAGTTATAACTTTACAAGTTTATTTAGGTAATCCATGGATACTATACACATTTGGGTAAAATGTTTCTCGACTCTGCCCTTTTTCTTTAACTATTCAATAGTCTGTCTATTTTAAAAAGAGTTCTAGTTGTGTTCGCTAACATGTCCCGCATGTCATGAATTTAAAAAGATTAGAAGCGAGCGGTTGAAAATTATTAATATATATAATTAAAAGTTTTGCTACTCTACGTATTTCACATGTTTTCTTGCAGTAACACGATAATTATTTACACTACTATTGCATCGACGAAGTTCTTCCGCCAGGTCCATCGTCATTTGTTCAAATTCGTCACTCGTAAATCCAAAGTGAGGACAGAGAATAGTTTTCAGTGATTTAAATGATTGTGTGAAATTTTTTAATGACTAGATAGACAAGAGTAATCAGACATTGTAATTGGACTTGTGCAGTTTGTCAAAATATTAATGTAAATTTTGCTTACGATTTCTCCCAGTTTCCCAGCTCGGGTTCCAAATTGTCGAGGTTTTTCCTCTATCGGTGCGACGGTAACAGCATTGTTGAGCGAATTAAATACTGTCATGACGTTTTTGCTAGAGACAAAATTAATTCCAGCATTTTTGAAAAGTGTCGACTCTGCACTCACGAGAAGGGAAAAGTGATTAGATAAATAAACAAATGGGTTTAAATGCTTTGCCAACAATTTCTAACGTCAAACAACTTACGATTATGGTTAACCCTCCTCGCTATTTTTCCCGGCTGGAGAAACTGACCATCTGTTTCCATAATTTCGATATATCCGCCAGGTTTTGTTATTCTTATTAATTCTTTTATCACTTTTTTCTTCCATATTTGCCAATCCATACAAATTATGAGAAATCCCTGCCTGACAAAGTCAAAACAATTATCGGGAAATGGTAGACCATTGACGATGTTACATTGAAGGAATGCTGTGTTGTGCGGAATGACATCAGGAAATAAAGGAGCGACATCTATTCCAACAAATGTTGAGGCAGGATAGTTCAGGGCCATGTTTGTTATCCATGCTCCTGAACCGCATCTGAGAGTTGACGTAAATAAATAAATAAATGGAAATTTGGTATCGGTTATCCAGTGCATAGAAATAATATACTTACCCGACGTCAAGAACCTTTGCACCATGTGACAATCTATCAAAGATGGGAGCAGAGTAGTCATTTCCCCAGATGAGTTTGTCTATGTAGTAACGGTCGAATGACCTTTTAGCTTCCTCTTTATCGCTAGGTAGAAAACATTTCAATGTACTGTCATTCATGAAAAGTCTTCCATTGATTTCTACAAAATTTTCAGAAAAGTTTTCTGGGGTCATTGCCGCCTTGATCGGATCCAGTAACGATGCCGATATTTGTGTCGAACGGCTTACGAAATTAGATTCTATTTCGGCATCGTTGTTTGCAAACAGTATGCTTGGATCGGTTGTTGACAGTATGGACATTACTGAGAGTGTAGGTTTGTGCTTGCTGATTTTCTCCATTGTGAGTTGAATAAAAATATGGAATAGCGGGTAAACGCCTTTTTTATAGGAGGGGGAGGGGAGGATAAATAACCAAAGAAAAGGTTATCGTCATGTGCGCATCCGGGATAAGCGGCAAGATCTACAGCTTTTTTTGCATAAGCTCTCATTTGCGTAATTAATTTTCAGCAATATCGGGTAAAAACTGGATCCGAACATGATTGGTAAGTAAATAATTATAATACATGTTATAAATAATAGCAATAGTAGTAGATACTTAATGCATGATAACACTTGTTTCTACTCTTGTTTAAAGAGAAACCGAAAATAAACGACATATTCGGTCAGGTGTATGATAGGGCTTGGCGGTTTGGGGCACGTTTACCCACCCTTCCTCCTTTTTCGCTGACCACGATGTTTGACTTTTATGTGTAAAAATATATTTGGGTTGATATAAATCTCGTTTACAGTTGAAAATGTTTCTTCTTCTTCTATCATATGATACATCCAAGCCTCCTAAGAAACACACAGAAAGAATGATAATAAAGCTAGACTCGAATTATCACAAATTCGCAATTGGTATTTTTCTCGATTCTTTGCTTATCTAAGGATTAGCTAAGCGAACGTTCTATATTAAGGACAAATGGGACCGAATTAATTCTTCCCACAATGCTTCTCATCGACACACCTGAAAATGAATGTCGAATATTGAAACGATAAAACGGGAACGAATAAAAATTGCAAGGATATTGCTGTGTTAACATGTGGCTGTGGGTTGTTGGAAAATAAACTTTTAGCATACAAAACTAAGTTGTTCCGTTCACGGATCATGGTAACACGGTTGCGATTGATCGATCGTAATTTGCCAATACTAATCTTTCGTAATTATGAACACTGCGATGGACGGACCCGATCGTCGGTGGATAGTAATAGTGCATGCATTTAAACCATGGCAGGTAAGAAAGCCGAAACTGTGCGATTTCCGGTAAATGACTTGGTATATTATTTTGTCTCTGTAGAAAATACAGTACTTTTACTGAGAATATAACTGTTTTTTTCAAATCTTTTGTTTGCCGTTCCTCTTCCCACCCCCACCCCCTTTTTTTTTCCCTTGACCCTTTATTTTTATGATATGAACGGATTTGGACATCCGTTCATAGTATCGCGATCAATATAAGTAGATTGGGGAGACAAACCTACAAACAGACATGAACAATGACGTAACCATCCGATATACAATCTGCACGGCCACCTCCCTTCTATGTACTGACTAAAAAAGCAATTCTAAATAATAAATATTGAACACATAGTACATAAATTCGACTAGGTGTCAACATGCTGTCCATGTGCTTTCGAATTTCCAGTTATTACGATCATCATTAATGAGTCTCCATTTGCAGAATGAAATTTGGTGGCAACTTACATTTCAAATATGCAGTTGAAAGCCTTGCGTACTTGCAAGCTTAAAAGCTATTAAGTAGGAAGCAGTACATAAATGCAATATTTAAGTAAATGACAAATATTTGTTACTAGTTTTTTACACAAGAATTACGCAACAAATATAGTTATTAAACATTAATCTTGTTACACTAGTTTGTGTGGTAACCCTTGAAATTAGCTAGATATTAAGTTAATTAGCAATTAATAGCATACTGTGTATTAATATGGATACTGATATCATATGGTTGATCGCGTCAATGTTTATAATAAAGTAACATTTCGAATACCATATGAGTGAGAGCAACTTGCAAATAGGTTTAATTGCCCAAATATTGTCGAGTATAAAATAGAACCAAAGACTAGCTTAAAGAACGAGGACGATTGAGAATGAAACTGAGGGCACTTCCTATACGGTGTGACTAACAAACTTGACTAACTATTGTCACATGAGAATTGACAGGGCTAAATTAAGGAATGTCGAGCTCAAATTGTAATGCTAATGATAGAATGTGATTAGTAAACAGTCGCACAGTTCGGTAGAGTTGAAACGTTAAGCAATGCAAATACTGGAATATGGGACCGTGCTCCCCACATGTCATGTCGAAATTCTTATTGTACCACAACACATTCTATTCCGGGAACAATTATCCCACGCAGCAGAAAGGCCGTTTTCGTAAACGACATTCGGTTTCATATAACCGTGTCGTACCCAAGGATATGCGTAAAATGTACGCGTTATTCAATTCCACCTCTGCCCTACCTTGGACCTTGATGTTAATGGAAAATAATGCTTAGAGAACTCTACTGAAGTGAAATGTTCGCACTTCCAACAGCACCACGCGAACAGGCAACTGAGAGATCGCTCAAAGTACCTACAATAGGTGAGTGAAAATAAATGTTGGACGGTTGTGTGAAGTATAGATTAAAGCAGGACTATTTTTGATACTTGCACTCACTACAAAAAGATTACAAGATCGTAAATTAGATGCAGGTATCCGAAAATGTTATTTTGACATCCAAGATTGGTGGAAGGTTTTATGTCTACCTGTACTGATATATCTCAACTATCATTGGAAGTCATCGTTTGTTGTCTTTATGCCAAATCAATAGGTGCCTTATCGAAATAATACTTATTACTTCACATATGTGGTGTCTGGGTAGGATTTAATGTTAGCACCAATGAGATAGGTTATAAAACTACTTTATTTGATCTAATTCTTTTTATCATGTCGTAGATTATCAGGAAGCCATTGGAATATTTGATCTACTTGGTAAGTTAGATAGTTTATTGATGATAGTTTTGGTGATGAATGGGATGAACTTACAAGGTGTCAGTGCATGTACACTCAGACTATGCAAACTTGTTGCGAAACCAGCAACAAACATGGCCTCGGTTGTCTTTGATAAAGAATGGTTACATCCGGTTTTACTCTTTCGATGACTTTATTAACACGCTGTGCTGGAGCGTATGGTGTAGTTTTCAAAGCGGAAGCGAAGACACTTGGCAGAACGGTGGCATACAAGCTTATTCCTTCACAAAATGATGAATTCGAAAACTTTGTGAAAGAGGTTGGTAATTATAATGATAATGTTTATGTTTGGATATTATTGATTGTTTACTTAAATCATACACTTACACATTAGCTGCAGATTCATCGCATGGTTGATGACCACCTCAACATCGTTCGATTTCTCGGAGTGAGTGAGGGTAAGTATCGAGTGGCTTAGGTTACGGCATAACTAGCTTGATATTTTACATAAAGATCTGGTAATTATCAATGTTGTGGTACGATGCTTTTATAATATTATATCGTTTAGCCTATTCAATACCAATTTACAATTTTGTTATGTTATTAGTCTTGATTCAAGTCTAAAGTCATATCTTTTGCCAACGCTGAATCTGAATAACCATTTTATAAAGGACCTGTTTCTAACGGAGTAGACGCAAAATGAGGAAATGAAGGCTATACAAACCAACGGACGAACGCATGGCTCTGTGAACGATGTAAGAATATTTGTTGTATACCGTATCGGAGTTGATAACTGTAAGCTCATTTCTAATATCAATTTGACATAGTAATGATAATGCAGAATCGAATTTTCGTTTGTACCTGAGCCTGCCAACATTCTAAGTACCACTGAGACTCCAGGAAAAATGAACAGTTATCTGAATAACAGATGGAGATGATAGCGAAAAGGCATGTTCATAAGTCAATTATTAAACTTGTCTATTATCATTAGCAACGAGATAGCTAATTATATTTCCGACATGTAGAATTACCACTGGCAACAACCATCCACAGCAAGCACCCTTTAACATATGTACACATCAATATCCCGGTTATCCAACTTTGCCTCGAAAAATTGAAAGTTTCAGAGAAACGTAAGTCTAAAATTTATACCTACGATTGATTACAAGCTAGACATCTGACGCGAACAAATTGACAACAGGAGATCGTTCATTCCACGCAAGAAAAGGTGACTGGGGAAGTCATAAATCCGGCTGAAACGTATTTAATGAAAAGTAGTGACAAGTTATGAAGAGCAATTTGTATGGATAAGTTATAAATTATCTCAAATGCTACACTCTTGAGAACTATTGTATATTAATCATCTCCCATCATCAATGTCATATTAATAGTAACAATCGAAAACGCATGAGTCAGTACTTTGATATTTCAGAACAGTTTGAAGAGCATAGAATAATTGTAAGATTATTATTGTATTCTAGTTTAGTTTGAAAAACCGCACGTCAAACGTCTAATCAAGAATGAAGTAAATTGGACCCATTCGTGCTTGCTGACATTTGGGCATGCCAATTGCAATTGATTATTATTATGCCAACCGTAATTTATATGATACCCACAGTATGCGACACAGGGACCGTCTGAACTTTTGAATATACTTAATGGCAAACATCGTATGGAGAGGCCTCGCAGGATCTCTTTCAACGGCCGCCTGGTGAACGACAACGTACAATAAGGGAAATCGAACAATTTTCAATCAGAAAATGCTGGTATCTATTCAATTGAATTTGAATTATCCCAAAATCAACAGGTCTGATTCCGAACGTTACGGGCAATTTCGAATATACGACAAAAGGTGTTCTGATGAATACAAGGTTCAGATGTCAAATGAAAGGTGAAATTTATCGGATGTATTCGATTGCATTCGAATCCGTTTGACCAGGTATACAGCATAGCAAGCAATGATTCAACCTGAAAGCTATTGCATACTTTAATCGAACTCAAATTTTACCAACGACCAATAAATCGTAGCGAAGAGGCCAGAAGAATGGCAATCGCAACTTTATGAGATGTATTCGGGTTGGATTGGATTGGAACGCAAAGGGGTCAGATGACAGTCTAACTGGATTCTTCGTCGGATATTTAAGGTTTTAGACTATGTTATTATAAAAGTAGCTGAAGCCCAAGTTTGAATAATGGTTTAAGTATGGCATTGCTAATAATTCAAAACAGCCGCTAGTGATAAGAACACTTAATCTCATTGCTCTCGCAAAAGGAGCCGAATTTGCTACTCCGCTATTAACATTTGACCTTTCGACATAATATTATATTTCACTTGGGCTAAAATGGCTTATCATGGGATTAAGGCTGGGTTTGATTTTTTTTTTCTCTTTATTTTTAATTTTCTTTCCTTTGGTCTCTGCCGACCGATAAAATTCCACGAGAAGGACGGATGAAAGGCTCATTGAACGATGCTTGCAAGTATAACTGAAACGCGATACGAACCCGACATCCCATTTCGACAATTTGATACAACACAGCAATCGCAATAGGCTGACAGGGCCATATACTGAACCACAGACGAGTGACATGACAGAACTAATACTGCCAATAATTTCAGATCGGATGTGCTTGAAGATTGTTAAGGCGAAAGATTGGAAACAAGATGGATTTATACCCATCGATGCTGGGCTTAATTGAGCGGAGAAACTGTCGTGAAGATAGGTGTTATTATGCAGCTGATGCAGCAATTACAGATATTAACAAGAGCTTAGTGTCAGATATATTCAATGCGCTTGTACCTAGTATATATAGTTAATCAACGACGACTGGTTTGCTGATTAGAATTGAACCAGACGATGCGTACATGTTTGTACCTGATTTAACGCATGAGATTCACCATCTTGTCGCAACGATCGACGAATAAGGAGAATCATCAAATGCTATCTATATATAACACTATGTTGGCAGCGAAAGATAGCGCACTTGCAGAAGAAAAGAATTAAACGGTTAAAGTATACTCACCGGAAATCAGTGCGCAATGCCATTGCTCCTGTGCCTCCAACTTAGATCCAGAAAATCAGAGTGTATTTTAAGCCTGAAGCCTTTGCTAATGCTTTTGTCTCACTGTCTCCAATCTTAGTACGAGAGAAATCTAAAGACTTCAGAGAATGGTTTGATTTTAAGGCCTTTGCCAGAGCTGTTGCTTCTGCATCTGCAATCTGGTCCCAATGAAGTTTACATTAGCTAATGAGGAATTTAATTCTAGAACACCAATGCAACACTACGGCAAGCATATTTTACGTACCACTCGCGCCAGTAGCGAAATATAACTGAAGGAATCTGTTTCGGGAATTAATATCGTATGATAAGAGCACGAGATAGCGTACTTACTATACAAGAATATTAATCCACGGAGCAGAACAATGAACCATTTGCCACGTTCACCAGAATAAGACTTGTTTCCATTTCATCCAATAGGATGTATATATTTATTGGCATACACCAGGTATATGCTGTCAATGTGTTTCGTCATGACTGAATAGTTTGAGTACGTACCTGATCGACGTTCGCCGATATGGTACTAGCTTACAATAAATTCGAATTAAAAGGGGGTACAAATGGGATTGAAAATTATAACAACCGCATAATGAAAATCATGTGATCCAACTTGCTATAGACATTAGCAAGCAGTGAAAGTTACGCTGAACGACAGGGGAGTGCAGCTAGAGAAGAGCTTGATTCCAGAGCAGTCACCAATGGTGATGCTTCTTTATTGCCAATATTACATGAGAGATCCAGAGCATCGATTGACCGGTTTTGATTTTGGTAACTTTGTATTTTGTATGTTTCATATAACAATATCAATTGCCGGTATACGTCCCTACATACTGGTCGCTTGTAAGGATCTTCCTTCCAACATTCCGAATAAAGCCCAATATATGTTTCAGATGCTTCAGAAGAAGGAGGGTCCCGAAAACCTTCCTCTCTATATTTAGGTACTTCATGACATTTACAGCCTTCACAAGGCACCTTGCCGCTAGAAATTTCCCATAACATAACACCGAGGCTGAAAACATCTGATTCTTTTTTACGCCTATATGAAGGATCTCGGAATGAAACTGGATCCCTATACGCCGCAGTGCCTTCACCTCTTGATTCGGAAAGAAGTTGTGCCAGCATGGTAGACAACCCAAAATCCGTAATCTTAGCAATGCCATTGTGAATTAGAATGTTCGAAGAGGACTGGATAAATAAATCATAATGTCATAACTTCATTAAAATGTATAATTGCAATTGATATCGACAGTACAAACATACGGGAAAATCACATTACCAAATCTTTGTGAACTATATCCAGATCATGTAAATGAGTTAAACCACTTGCAATGCCCAAGCCCAATTCATATTTGCATTCCCATGACAAGGTAGGAAAATATTTCATTAGGTATTGACGCAACGTTCCCTCTTTGGCATATTCGAAAACCATATGATAATGATCTTCTTCGTCTACAATGATAACAAGGGCGATAAACATAATAGTTTCATAATGACATCGAGATGTCAGTCAACAAGTGATGACGGATACTTTACCTTTATACAGGCCTAAGAATTGGATAATATTAACATGGTCATTAGCCTTTCTATGGTTTTTAAGCTAACAGAAATCAGATTAAGAAATCGTTGATATGTAGCCAGTAATAGCAGAGATAAAATATATAACTGATAGAAACCTCCTTAACAATTGCTTCGTACAATAAGTTGTCATCATTACGATACATGGATGGGATTAAAGTCTTCACCGCAACAGTAGTCCCGGAAGCCTCAATCGTTCCTTTGAATACTACACCGTACGCACCATGGGCAATAGGTCTTTTGCTCAATTTGATATCGTTTTCCGACCAACAATCGATTAAACCTTCTTCGATTCTTCTACGCAGCCATTCTTTATTATTATAACTATTATAAAGGTGTGTTTCTGAAATCCGATTCGAAGTAGGCGATAAGTATAGTGAATTGCAATACTCTGTAATAATAGTAAGTTCATTTCGGAGTTGTTGCACCCGTTCCGTTAACTTTTGAATTTTGCACTTCGCTTCATATTCAGACATTGTTATCTTTGTAAGTTCATTTCGGAGTCGTTGCACCCATTCATTTAACTTTTGGATTTCGTCTGTGTAATACATTTGCAAATCTAGATTCAAACATGTTTCCGTAACAAGTTCATCTCGGAGTTGTTGCAACTGGTTCTTTAACTCTTGGATTTCGTCTAAATAGCTAAATTGTCGTGGCTGAATTGCTTCGCGAATTGCTTCGCAAATTGCTTCGAATCCCCATTCGGCTCGTGGCCGAATTGCTTCGAGTCGTTGCACCTGTTTTTGGATTTCGCTAAATGGGCGATACCAATCTGTTGTTTGGATTTCGCTAAATTGGCGATACCTTGTTTGGACTCTAAATCTCTTGTTTGCCTAAACCAGAACTTTTCTATTTCTTGCAGCGACATATTAATATATACTAATTCAGTCAAAAGACCATCAAAAAGTGAATATGGCACAGTAATTTTTATTGTTTAGTTTTGTTACACCTAATTCTCACGTGTCAGATCAGCAAGTAAAATATCCGGGGTAATTTTATTGCAATATTAATATACAGTCAACTCTCTTTATAACGACCACCTCGCAAAGTAAATCGGTCGTATAAACAGCGGTCGTTATTTGCCGCATAGTAGCCATATAGAGACCATAATATGTTATATGACATTTTGGTCGTTAATAAACAATGGAGTTAAATATTCCAAGAATATCACTATTATGCTAGCAATAACATTCTTTTACTATTTGTTCAAGTGCTTAGCATGTAACTTTTCCTCTTCCTCTTTATTAGAAAAGGAATTTTTTGCAGCTCCATTCTATATCATGAATATAATCTTTATTTTTTAGGTCAACAGTTTCTTTCTCAAAAGCATTTTCTTTTAAAACCGATTCCTTTCGTGTCTTATTACGCTCAAAAGAAACTCTCTTAATGTAGTATCGAATTCCGAGTAAATGACGATAATGTAAATAGATAATGGATTCTCAGTGCCACTTGATTCCAGAAGCGGAGAAATTAGTACCTACATATATATAAGTTAATATTGACTGTACTATGTACTACCGAAAAAAAGGTTTACAATATAATTTATATGGAAATTTTTATTTTAACCAGTCGATCGGATCCGAAATCCAGACTGGTGTTATACGTGTAAAAGCCAATTTTGATAGAGTTGAAAATGGCAAAGCACATGCGGTCGTTATGAGGCATCGGTCGTTATAAACAGAGCAGTCAACTCTGCTTATACCGGACGGGTTGGCATGCTCTCTGTGTCCTTCCGGAACTGGTATATGGAAAGACTCCGGCTATAAAAGAATTTTCATATAAAACGAACGGTGCGCAAGAACCAGTCCGTCCGTTATAAAGAGATTCCGGTATATACATTTCCGGTATAAACAGAGTTGTTGACTGTATAAGGTACTTGAGTGAAGTCTACCATATATTCTCGGCACATTATTCGGATATAATCCCCTCCATCAAAGTACCCCCGAATTAAGTACCCTGGGTACTTTAGTCAGAGAAATTCGGTAATTTGACATTATTCTTATAAGAAATATGTTTACTAACTCAGAAGTATCATAATTTTGTTAGCATTGACCCGTAAACTTTGCCGTCAAACAATGTCTTTTATGCATTTACGTGCAACTTAGTTTTTATGCATTTTGTTCTGAATGCTCATTTCAAAAACGTATTGAAAGAGCTTTGGAAAGAAACCTCAATAAACATTGTTTCGATAACGAATTTTTAATCGAGATTTCGTTTTGCCTCCTTACCATGTTCGGTCTCTTATTGATAATTTTAGCCCTACAAGATCAGTAAAATCTATCTTTTGATATGCACAGAGAGAACAAGTGTGTAAAAGGAAATATGCTACTTGCACAATCCTACGCTTACATAATATTTATATAGGTTGATGCACTAATAAAAACTCGATCAAATTATTTGAATTGCAATAAGGCCGTAATAGCGACAGAACTTATGTACAATTAGACGTTGCGACTATTCCATTGTGCAACGATATTATAACTTCGTCGTAGGATATACGCGTATATTGACATTAAATGAATTAGGCACTAGTTTGATTATGCGTCCGAAATAAAATCCATAAATATTTAAGTCGAATACTTTGAAAAATATTTTCTGTTATAGGTTGCGATAAGAGAAATGGAATAAAAATACATATACTCAATATTAAATGATATCGATACCATGCTATGCCATCATATTACCGGTAATGCATTCATTTTGGACATGGTTATATACTGTATGTCCTGTTGCCCTGTGCATATGGCTCAGACCCGATTTGATAAGTCTATGCACGAACGACTATTTTAATTAGATGAACAAAGTTACCCGATAAGGCACGAATTTGTAGTGTTGTATCCAGCCCGTTCTTGATATTACCAAGACTAAATATATAGAGTGAACGAATAATGTACGATGCTACGCAGAGTTATAAATTATTCATCACTCAACCCGGTTATACCTTTACCATTTCTCTCTAATCGGGAATGGTAAGAGTATGTCAGTAATATTACCCCCACGAGTACTTGTAATTATCTTAAACTTTGATATTAAGAGAATTTAAACTATTATTTTACTACGTGGTA